GTGGGTGCGGGATGTGCTGCTTGTTTTTTTTTTAAAAAAAAATCTTTAAATTTATTTATTTATTTTTAATCTTCAAATTTTTTTTTTGAACCAATCAAGTTGCGAAACGTGTGCAACTAATCAAAGTCAGAAAAATTGACCTCTTCAACCGGTTGCAAGTCATTTGGGTGCAATACAAATTAATACCCCCTAAAGTTGGGAATGATAGATAATAATCAAAAGTTCGGATTAATTTGGGCGGACGAGGAAAAGTTCAAATTAATGGGAGCAATTTTTCCTTAATATAATTTATTAAAGCAATGAAAACAGAAAAAAATTTCTAGAATATTTTTCGAGTACAGAAGTCAAAAAATTTTCCAAAAAACACCGAAATTTTCCCAAGTACTCCCAGAAGAACGGCGCCGCCGTTTTGCAGCTGTTGCTGGCCATTGACGTCTGTCGTCCGACGATAGGCGCTATCCCCTGGCGCTGCAGTCTGTCTTCCGGCAACAGACTTTTTCTTGTGACGTTGCTGATGTGTCTAATTTATATAGTATTTTATCCCCGTCCCTTGGTCATAATTAGTAGTGTTTTTGGCTCTTTAGACACTTTTATTACTAATTGGTGTTTTCTAGTGTTTTTGTAGTTTTGCTTGAGTTTTGTAGGAAATTGCACTTTTGGAGCATTTTCCAGGTTTCCATGGAATAACTACGGACATTAGGAGAACACGACCATCTTTAAAGCCCAGGACTGGTTAGAGCCGGTGGTTAAGGGCTAGGTATATATGATACCGGGGCATTTGGACCAAGTATTCAAGACCCGAAGAGAAAATCCGGATTGGGCCGAAGAATTAAGCCCAATCGAAGTCCAAGCCTCGAAGAAGTAACCGGGCCCGATCAGGAAAGCTTACGCCCAATCGGGCGGGAGCGCATTCAGGTGCATCGAGCAAGGCGCGCCCCATCGGGTGAGTGTTAGCTCGATCGGGCGCAACTGCCCAGAAGAGGTGCGAAGAAAAATGCGGGCTCGATCTGGCGAGTGTTTCTGAGAGACCTGTTTTGCCGAATTAATAGTTTCTAATTAGGATTTTTTTAGAGTTGTTTAAGTATGATTTTAGTACTTGATTTTTGTTTACCTTCTTTCTTAGACTTTCTCTTTCTACTTAGATTATTTTCTCTCTCTAGAATTCTTTCAACTCTTGTTCTTGACTCAACTTTGTAGTTCCATTGATTTTGGTAACGATTTCTTCTCTATTAATTTCAGCAATTTTATTCCTTTATTCTCTTATGGCTTATTTAATTGCTTTATTTAGTTTAGATATAATTATGTGTGAGTAGTATTATTTCTAGGGTTTATGGGGATCCAATAAATAATATGAAGGGGTAATTTATGATTGTTGATTGTCAAATTTTCCTATTGATTTATTTAATGCTTTGCAGTTAGATTAGGCCTAGTTTAATTGTATGAGTTTAGCAATATTGATTCGAGATTCGAGAGATGAGAATTGATGTTTAGGCTTAGATTCAATAGGCGGACTAATTTATAAATGGTTAAGTCGAGATTCAAGAGATGAGATTTAATACCGGTAAATTAACTCTGTGATTGTAATACGTAGGGAAAGCCCTTTATGATCTGATTAATTGATGCATTGATGATTGATTGTTATGTTTTACCATGGAATATTGTTTATTGGTGAACCTAAGCCCTAGGCTTTTATTTCATTGAATTCCCTCTTACTTTTATTCCTTCCTACTCTTACTCTTAATTGTTTAGTTACCCTTATAATAATAATTTGGTTACTTAATAATTTTGGATTGCTTTTAATTAATAGAAATAAATTGACTTGTTTCCCTGTGGTTCGACCCTTCTTCCCTATCTACATAGTTAGTACCTTTAGGTATTATTTTTTATTAGGTGGTTATGACTTGAGCCTGTCAACTGTTGTTCCGTCGAATTTGTGTCGAATTCCTTTTTATTTCTGAGATGCGAGGTTTGCAAAAATTAAAGTGGCCGCACTCGTAAAGGGTTGCCTAACTATCCTTTCCTTAGGAATCAGGCCAAACGTAGCTCTCTTGAGTATCTTACTCAAGTGTTTATAGGTATTACATTTTAAGTTGGTCAATATTTGTCATGTTTGAGAACTCATTGCCATCAATGTCAATTAGTTTTGCTGCTCCTCCGGATAGGATTGTTTTGACAGTATAAGGTCCAGACCAATTAGGCTTAAATTTGCTTCTTGGATCCAAAACATTTTTCCTTAATTCTTTTAACACCAAGTCTCCTACTTTGATGTTTCTTGTCTTAACCTTCTTATTAAAATGTCTAGCCATACGGGTTTGATAGCATTGGGTATGATGTAGAGATTCTAGTCGCTTTTCGTCAAGTAGAATTAGCTCTTTTTACCTTGCTCTAGTCCATTCGATTTCATCGAGTTTACTTTCTATTGCAATGCGTAGAGAGGGTATCTCTAGCTCTACAGGTTGTACGGCATCCATTCCATAAAATTAGGACAATGGCGTATTTCCTGTTGATGTGCGAATTGACGTACGATAACCCAAAGTGCGAAATAGAGTTTATCAGGCCAATCCTTGTAATTTTTAGTCATTTGCTCGATGATAGTCTTTAAATTTTTATTAGCTGCCTCAACTGCTCCATTTGCTTGAGGTCTATAGGGGGAAGAATGATGGTGTTGAATGCCATATTTTTGTAACAACTCTTCACATTCAGCTTGAAAGTGAGTTCCATTGTCACTTATCATCTCATGTGGGACTCCGTATCGACAAATGATATTCCTTTCGATAAAGATTGCTACATTTTTTGTAGTGAGTTTAGCATATGATTGTGCTTCAACCCACTTTTTGAAGTAATCAATCGCTACTATGATGTATTCGTGACCTCCTGTTCCTGGAGGGGTAATTTTACCAATGATACCAATTCCCCATGTAAAGAATGGCCATGGTGAAGTTTAGGTGTAAAGTAGAGATGGAGGAGCTTGTTGCAAATTAGCATAGATTTGGCATTTAGGGCATCTTTTTACATATTGATGACAATCCCTATTCATAGTAGTCCAATAATATCCTTTTCGTATTATCTTTTGGACTAGCATTTTGCCGTTAACATGAGTTCTATAAATGCCTTCGTGGACTATCCTCATAGCTCTTTGGGCATCCTTTTTCCCTACACATAAGAGAGCTTGACCTTTAAGTACCCTTTTGTGTAAATCGTTGTCTATGAGTATATATTGGGAAGCTAAGAGTCTTAATGCTCGTTTTGCTCTTTTGTCAGCATGAGAAGGGTATTCTCCTTTGATGACATAATTAAGTATATCTGTATACCACGGTTCTTCTTCTTCTTCATCTTGGATTACTTCATCATCTTCTATGGCTTGAATATAAGCTGGTTTGTGTCTTTTCTCCATTGTTAGAGGCAGTTTCTCGATTTCCGTAGGAATCCTAACCATTGAGGCTAGTCTTGCCAAAGCATCTGCAAATTGATTTTCCTCTCTAGGTAGATATGTTTGGTAAGGGTCTAGACATTCACTCCTTACTTTCCATCTTTTAGAAATCTGGTTGATGATCAACGAAGAGTCTCTGAATATTCGTAATTTCATTACTCCCAATGCCAAAGTTGTTTCAAGGCCTACCACGCATGCTTCGTATTCAGCTTCGTTAATGGTCACGTCGAAATCTAGCTTTATAAAGATTGGGACGTGCTCTTCTTTAGGTGATACTAATAATAATCCAACGCCACATCCTTTTTGGTTTAAGGCTCCATTGAAATATAAATTCCAAGTATCATCTTCTGTGACCATCAATTCTTCGTCTGGAAATTCATTATCATGTATTGGCGTTAAATATTCTATTGGAAAATCCGCTAGGAAATCCGAGACCACATATCCTTTGATAGCTTTTGAGGCATGAATTTCACATCGAACTGGGCTAAGTTGACTATCCATCTTGATATGCGCCCATTGAGTGTAGACTTCTTGAGAAGATACTTAAGTGGATCCATTCGGGAAACAAAAAAGACTGTATGCACGAGCATGTAATGTCTTAGCTTGATTGTGGCCCACACCAATGCGAGGCACAATTTCTCTAGCGGTGTATGGAGTACTTCATACTCGAGAATTTTTTTTCTTGGATAGTAGATTGCATTTTCTTTACCTTCTACTTCTTGTGCAAGCACGGCTCCCATTGTCTCTTTGGTGACTGTTAAGTACAACCTAAGAGGTATTCCTGGAAGTGTTGGTGCTAATACGGGAGGACTTGCGAGATAAGCTTTGATCTTTTCAAAGGCTTTTTGACACTCATCATCCCATATTACCGGTACATTCTTTTTTAGCTTCTTAATTATTGGTTCTCATATCGTTGTTAATTTCGATATGAACCTAATTCTACATTGCAACCGGCCAATAAATCGAATTTGTTGCTCGGTTTTGCGCGGTGGAATTGACATGATCGCCTTGATATTGGTTGGGTATATCTATATTCCTATCGCCTTGATATTGGTTGGGTATATCTATATTCCTCTAGAGCTTATGACATACCCCAAGAGTTTGCCTGAGATGATTCCAAAAGCGCACTTTGATGGACACTACTAGAATTTCCGTGGTTTTTAGACGCTTTTTAGGCATATTTTTGACACCAAAAAGCGTCGAAAATTATTTTCTCGACACTTCTAAAATAGTGAAACGAGAAAATTCCTCTACAAAAAAGCGTCGCAAATATCGACGCTTTTTATTGTCCATACAAAGCGTCGATATTTGCATTGTGTCGCGCACTTCCTCAAATTTCTCGACGCTTTTTTGTGTCTATATTCGCATATTTGGCGACGCTTTTTTAAGTCTCTGATTTCATACTTTAATTGTACGATATTCTACCGACGCTTTTTTGTGTCCATACTTTAAAATTGGGTAACACCTTTTCAAGTCCATATTCTCTATAAAAATATCCAATGTGGAAAATATTTATATTACTTGCAAAGATACTCCATATCGCAGTATTAAAAAAAATCAAAAGAAAAAGTTTACCCATAAATTGAATTTATTCATAATTAAACAAGAGTACAAATTATTATATGTATACATATGTAAAATAATGCAAAAAACTATGATTATATTCTAACATTATTAAACTAATATTCATTTAGAAGACATTTGATCTCTTAAACTGCTAACATTAAATAAAAATGCATAGTTGCAATACTACCACTATTTCGAAAAACACGCAACTTCTCTCTATTGAATTGGAGCTAATTTAACGTCTTCATGGAATGACTTGATTAATTTGTAGACTTGACACATATAATAGTCATAACATCCTGCATCAATAACAAGCATGTTAGAGCTGGAAGTTAAAATTTGCCATATATTTCTGTTGGTTGAATAAAACATGTTTCTAGTTAGGGGATTATAGTCCTAACAAGACAAATTATATTAGATTTAAAAGACAGACTACAGATTTGTAATAAAAAAAATGTAACCAGCTGCATAACAAGGTTTCTAACACTAATTACCTCTGGTTTCATTGCTGAAGAGTACTGAAATTCTTAGTCCACAACACTAAAGTACTTCATGCTGCCAAATACATACTGATGTAGAAAATCAAGAGTTCCATCGATTATAAAACAATGCAAGTTTGAGAAACCTGCTTCGTAGTTTTTATAGTTGCATCTCAGGTCCTATATTATGAAAGAAAGAAACAAGAAAGAGAAAGGACACACAGATGATCTAGATTCCAAAAACAATTGTTGCTCGTGTGGCATGAGACATAATAAATACCTTAACGCGGGCAAATCACCTACTTATCATCTTAGGAAGCCCACCCAACTGAAATTTAGCCACTTCATGTTTAACTAAAGCCAAAGTATTCATTTAAGCAAACACACCCAACTCAAAGCAATAAACCCGCATAGGCTTTAAGAGAGCAATAAACATCCCCGCTGCGATAGAACCATGGCAGCAGACCACTGAAATTTCCGAAAGGCACAACTTCTAGCACACAATTCCAAATTTAGAAATTATTGACTCTAGATTGGATAAATTTTCAAGATCTATATCTTTCATGAAGGGATTATGGGCTAATATCAACTACAAGTATATCATTTTAAGACAAACAAAACTGCAGCTCAAGGCAACTAAAATTAGTACTACGACAAATCCAAAAAAAAAAAAAATAATTGTTGAAAAATCTAAAACACCGACACAACCACATAACAGATATGATCTCCCACAAAATGTAATCCAACATAACTTGGAGGCTTCTCTTGTCACTCTAGAAAAAATGTTCCAACCCAAAAGACAGGTTTTATTTCTTATAAATAACTTAAGGTTTTGGTCTTTTAGATGTTAAAAGGGGTTTAATATTTAATCTATCTTGCATTGTTTTTTATTTGGAAATATCAATACATACTTAAGCTTCCCAAAATAACAAAAAAATAAGGTTTGAAATGGTTTAGTCACGCACTAATACTCACACCAATCCATCTAAGTAACTCCAATTATTTAATTTTTTGGGACGAGTAAGATACTAAGTACTACTCCCGTAATACTTGTATGTAATTACTTCCTAAAGAAGAGAATAAAATAAAAGGTTAAAGTAACAACCATAAATTCAAGAAAATAGCCAAATTCCCCATTCTGTTTAAACAATAAGAACTTTGCAATTAAGAAACCAACCAATTACTCCAAAAAAAATTCATAGCAAATCGTACAAAAAAATAAAAACATAAAACCCCTCTTATTTACTCAATCAGATCAGAATTAAGCAAAAATTGAAACAAAATGGCCAATTTGACATCAAAATTAAACCGCAACAATTATAAAAAGCAAAATAACAGAAGAAAAAAAAAGAAGAAATTCTAACCTGGATAAATTCATTGACCTCTAAAGCAACGTTGTATCTAGCAAAATAATACGGCATAATAAGGACAGGCATAACTCAAAAAGTGAAGACCAGATCTGTAAAGGGAGGAAAATAACCTAGCTCAACCACTAAGGATTGAATCTGAACCCCAATTGCTACTCTAAAATTTCAAAATAAGTACATTAGTTAAATTTGCAACAAATTAAACTCGTTTATCTCAATACCTCTCTCTCAGTGGGGTTTCTACTAGAGAAGCATAAACAAAACCCTTAAATCTCTGTTCTTCATGAGTTAACCCTCTATCATCATTAAATCGTAACATTTCTGAAAATTAAAACTCTAGATCTAAAATACTCAATTTTAACAAGAAATTAAAAAAATGATAAAAAGTACCTTTGAATAATTACTAACTAGCACAAAGGAATGAGAGAAAAGCAAATTCCGCTTCCCAATTTATAAGAATCACGCTGAAAATACAGATCCAAATCCTAATTCCATGAATCTCTTAGTGTTTTTGGAGAACTGGGTATGGAGAAAGATGAAAAAATTAAAACTGATGAAACGATGAGAGTTAGGGTATGTAGAGCGGTGGTTTTATTATCCTATAATGTAATGCCATGATGCGGGCTAAAAAAATTTGTCACGTGCCGTGTACTTGGGTATACCTCGACGCTTTTACCTGTCAAAAATAAATTTTGACTTAAAAGCGTTGAGGATACACGCGTACTATATCAAGCAGCTGACGCCCCCTACACTGTGTCGAGCTCACAGCGTCGCTAAAATACGCATTTTGTAGTAGTGAGATTCAACCTCATGTTGTATTTTCTTAGCCTTTCAAAGAATTTTCTCAAGGCTACTTGATGTCCTGGGCGATCTTTTGATTTCACAATCATGTCATCTACATATACCTCAACCTCTTTGTGCATCATGTCATGGATTAAGGCAGTCGTTGCTCGTTGGTAATTAGCACCCGCGTTTTTCATCCCAAATGGCATTATCGTGTAACAGTATGTACCCCATGGTGTTATGAATGTTGTTTTCTCCATATCTACTTTTTCCATGAGAATTTGATTGTATCCCGCGTATCCATCCATAAACGAGAGAAATGCATGATTTGCTGTATTATCTACCAAAATATCGATGTGTGGTAAAGGGAAGTCGTCCTTTGGACTTGCCTTATTTAAATCTCGATAGTCGACACACATTCTTACCCTTCCATTCTTCTTCAGAACTGGGACTACGTTTGCTGCCCATTCGGGGTATTTTTATACCCTGATAAAACCCGCAGTTATTTGTTTTTGAACTTCTTTTATTTTAAGAGCTACTTCGGGTTTCATTCGACGCAACTTTTGTTTTACAGGTTTCATTCCTGGAATTAGTGGTATAGTGTGTTGAGCTATTTCCCTATTAATTCCTGGCATATCTTCATATGACCAAGCAAATACTTCAATAAATTCTTTAAGTAGATTAATTAGATCGGTTCTTTTTGATCTTTAAGTTTTAATCTGATTTTAACTTCTCTTTTAAGGGTTGAATCATTTGAGATATCAACCGTCTCAGTTTCCTCAATTATCGGTGTTTTCTTTTCAAGTGTTTCCATTGCTTTAATAATTTCTTTGTCATTTTTATTGTTAGTTAAGCAATGCTTGTTATCTTGGGTTAATGAAAAACACAAGGAGTAAGCAGAAGAAGACATATTATTAAACTCGGAAATCATTACATCAAAAAGGGAAATGTCCTCAGGGACTTGATTGTTAACTATCTTAGGAGTAGAAATAGAAGAAGGAGGGAGTGCTACGACTAAAGATTTGGACTACTCTACAAGAAAAGACTATGACTCTAACTCAGACGACTCTTCAAACATTGGTCCTTGCCCTATTGTTATGGATATTTTCCTTCCACTTGGAGTAGTCACCTTAACCATCTTGCGCCACCCTTGTACTAATCCTTCCCCTGGGGTGATGAGTTTTGAAGGGTCAAAGTTTTCACTTTGTAGGACCATTTTGATGAGCGAGGACTTATCCTCTATATATCTCGGCTCATCTTTTTTCTCGCCCAAATAGTAATCCCATGACATTAAAGTCAAAGCATGGGGGTGTTTTCTCCTTGTGAATAGGAGTTGGGATTTCATCTAGACAGTAGCAATCCAAGAAGATTTCAAAAGTCGGTTGCCTTATGCCATTTTCAACAAAAGGTTTAGGAAATTCATAGCATGGATAATCCTCTCCTTCTTGTATGAATTTTCCATTGAGAGTAAGAGGATACTGATCCATTGGGATTGCTTTCTTTTGGATGCGAGCGTTCCTAATCGCCTTAGACCTTTCCAGGTCTCGCTTAAGATCTTCCCGAGTCAGTTCGAAACCAAGTCCAAATGTAAATAACTTAGAGAGGCTAGGTAGTTCCAGTTGTTTTGCTATTTCCTTTTTCTTTTCTAGTGTCATTCTAGGAAAGTGCCCTTGTCTCTTGAGAATAGCATTTACTGTCATATTGGAGTTGGGGTCGTGACGGAGAGGGGTCCTTTCATCCTCCTCGATTAAGGAGACCTCTTCATTAAAGACCCACAAGTCTTCATCATCTTCATCGTGCTCCACGTTGATGATCGGATTTTCCACAGCTTTAATTCTCATGGGTGAAGCATTAATTGTGATGGGGATTCCTCCAACTATGGCTTTTACCTGTTGGTGAAGAGAAGAAAGGACGGCCTTGAGGTCATGAAGCCAAGGGCGTCCCAACAATAAGTTGAATGAAGCTTTAATATCTACCACTTGGAAGGTAGTGGCATGTTCTATTGTTCCCGCCGTTACATTCATAGTGATTTTACCAAGAGCTTGGCGACGAGTATTGTCATAAGCTCTTATTCCTTATGTTGACGGGGTTAAGTCTTCATCCCTTTTGCCTTACATCCTCGCAGTTCTATGTGGACAGACATTATTTGCCGATCCATTGTCTACGAGAGTCATTGGGACATTCATTCTCTTGAAAACTACTGTGAGGTTTAGTGCCTTGAATGCTTGTCACCTTCTAGAGATAAGTTTTTATCAGAAAAAGTGATCAAGTTGATAAGACTAGGGAGATCACTCGTAAGGAAGTTAGCCAACCCCTCAGGAGTGGTGTCGGAATCTATCCCTATCTTATCCAAGGCATTCATTACTACCAACCTATGCTCTCGAGACGTAGCTAGAAGTTTCCATACATTCATCTCGACCTTGGTCTTTTTGAATTTCTTAACAATTATTGTCTTCTATGATAGGTATGGGAACTTGTTGTACAGTTGGCATGGGTTATGTAGAGACGGGAGGTTGCATTTTCCCAGATCTTGTGAGGACGTCTATAGGTGAATCCTCTTCATCCCAAAAGTCACCTACTAAATACGACACTGAAAGTGGAGGTTTTTCCATGTCTTTTAGGTAGACGTCTTCTTCATCGTTGTCCCAAACCCCATTGATGCTTATGTCTTCTTCTTATGTTTTCAATACTATGTCCCCCTGATTGATGGTATTGACAGTAGAACATGTCTGTCCTCTTTAGAGATTCAAATGGTCTCGGTTCAAGAGGTTTGACCTTACTATTCTCGGAGAGCATTTGGAAAATTTTTACATATGAAGTACCAATTGGAGTATACAGTTTATTACTCTTCTTGGGTCTGTCAATTACTTGTAAAGGTAATGTTTTCTTCTTCGTGGGTGGAATGTTATCATACTTTGTCTGAAGTTCCTCCCCTTGTTTCTTTGAAATTTAAGAGCCTCACGTAGTAAGTCTGTTCCCTCCCACATGGACCATATAAGCATTCGCACATCTTCCTTTCTTGCTGGTCATGGAAAGTCATCCATGGCATTGAAAAATATCACTTCCTCTTCTTCGATAGCATGAATTTATTCAATAGGTTTAATAAGAGTTGAGGGATCAACATTGTTTTCCTCATCAGAGATGGACAAGGCATGGGAAAGAGGTGCATTATCGATGCTTGGCTTCTTACTGGCAGGGGGCAATGGTAGTTTGTTGGTATCAATTAAATCTTGGATAGCTTCCTTAAGCTTCCAACAATTTTCAGTGAGATGGCCCCTACCTTGGTGATATTTGCAGTGTGCATTGGGGTTCCAATTAGATGTCCTCTTTGCGACTAGTGGGTCCCCAAATGGTTCAATAGGAGTTATAATATCTTTTGCATTCATTCGATCAAATGCGGTGTCATAACTCATACTGTAGACACCTAAAAATGTCTCCCCAAAACCAAACCCGATGATGAACAACCTTTCACCGCCATTATTGGTCGCGTTGAGTATTTAATCTTGGAGTGATTAAATCAATATTTCCATTTCATAAACCAACCCATCTTCTAGCCCATTTCCCAAAACCATAACTTATTTTCCTCTTTTCGTGCCTTTAAACCCAAAATAATTCATTTCGTGTCCTTTAAAATCATTCATTTTGTGTCCTTTTTATAAAAACGATTAATCCAGTTTATTTTGGTCCATAATCTGGGTCTAATGATTGAATAGTTGGATGGGGCTTTAAAATAGATTTCCAACGATATATAATAATCCCAAATCCGAATTATAACGAACAATTATGGCCAAAATATTAAACTGAGCCCAAATCGAACCTAAGCCCACCTTACCTACGACCCAATGATCATGTGGAGGGTCCAAATTATTTAATACCATTACTAAAACAATTAGGATTAATTAGAAGCTTCTATAAGTTTCTAAAAGATCCTAATTATCCTTTTTGAAAAGATAAGATTAAAGAGTTTGAAATTGAATAAAACTCCTTTTTTTTAAAAGTCCTAATTTTATTCGAATTGACAGACATTAAAAGATAGACAGATAATTTTTCGTGCCTCATAGTTTTTATCCAAATTTTATATGGTTGGATAGCCCTTGATATTATCTTTCCAATGATATATTATAATATCAATTCCGAGCTAAAACGGAAAAGATATGAATAAAATATCAAACTCTATCCAAAACTGACACCGTCTCACTACTTTGGCCATATATTTAATTATATAAAATATTTTAATCTGATTCTTATTGGGTTAGAAATTAGACTTCAAGATCTTTCCAACTAAATCTTATTTATCTTATTCCAATTTCTGGATCAAAAGATATGATAAAAACAAAAACCGCAAAAATTGTTGTCTATCGAGTATTATTCCGATTTAATTCGGATCTTATCTTGTTTTTTAGACCCTTCTTTTTGCTCTATAAATAGAGGTCATATCTCCCCTTTTTCAATCATCAACAAGCATGATCATAAAATAATTATTTTCTCCGTCTTTAGCCTAAATACTAGCCACCTTATTCTTCCATAATACTTCCCCTAAGCACTCCAAGGATTCCATACTTAACCCGAGGTTTTGTCCTTAAACCAAGGCGTGAAAGGTATAAATAACTGAGGGTTTGGACCAAATCAACTCTACATTTTATTTAATTTAATTGTTTTCATTTGATTTATATTTTTATTGAAGTTACTAACAGTTTATTCATGATGTAGCAATTCAAGGAAACGCGGAAAGTGAGTAATTAATCCCTTAATTACTCTTATTTTTATTCTTATTGCTAGTATCATGATTAGGGTTATTATTTATAT